TAGGGTCCCTTACGATTTTTTTTTTCAACGATCCAAACCGTCCATTTTCCAAGTCTTCATTCATAGATCATCAATGCAAAAAATCAGGTAACTTGAAAATCATTAAGGCATCTAGTTAGGACCAACTCAATAGACGGACACGATGCTTCAAGAAAAAACTATAATAACAACTATCTAATTAAGTGGTCAAATGATTTCGAATTCAAGTGAATTTTTGCAAAGATGATTTTTGAGGTAATATAAAAAACTGGACGGTTTAGATCATTGAAATACAATGTCTGGTGGGCTCTACAAAGATGTCCCTCACTCACTGTATGTGCATGTGTGTGTGTATATAAGCTAAGAGATTGTATAAAATTGTGAGCATGCCACTATTAGTAATGCAAAAACCTAATAAACTTGAAGGAATAATAAAGTAACTTGCACACCAAGAATTTGACTTATAATCAAAAGATTGTATAGTGAATGGGGAACTCGTTCAATATTGGTTCTTTTCTATTCCTCAAGACAAATGAAAACTTGAATTTCTCTAATACAATGAAAAGGAATAAAACAACAAATAAAAAGTATACAAAGGGTGAGATCGATGGATCTGATTAGAAATGGGACCACTACCAACTTAGAGAACTTTCTGGATTGATTTGAGCACTTGGGAAGACTTGGTGGCAGTTAGAACTTGCACTATACTACTGTGCTAGCTAGCTATTTTAGTAAGAAATCAAACACATGCAATCCATATTTCATATATATGCTTCTGTGCTTATGTAGTGCTTGAATTGTCATTGACCTTTTAATAAAAGTTTGCAATCAGTTCTATCATTCAGAAATCCAATGATGGACATACTTGGTGCTATACTTGTTGTTAAAGTTCGCTCACCTATTGGATGTGAAAGGAACGACGGAAATAAGCAGTCAAGGGGTTGCAGACCTAGTGACTGGGCTCTGGCGCTCGAGCAACAGAATGTCAAAATCCAGGCGCTCAAGCAGGAGCTCGAGTGACAATCACTCTGCGTATGCGGATCCTACTCGTTTTAGGATAATTTTTCATTGAATTTTGAGGAGTTTTAGGTTTCCTATTCCGTATATGATTTTACTACCTATAAATAGGCATGTTAGTGCTAGGGTTTTTAAAGGGCATCAAATTGAATTTGGGCAAGGGTGAGAGAAAAGAGAGCTAGGGTTTCTTGTGAGAGCTAAGGGGATTCTTCATTGTAATCAAAGT